AATATTATATGTAATATTAGTTGACCGTGCTACTAGTCGACCTTTAAAAAGGAGGAAGTTTTGTTTAATGTATGTTCAGGCATAAGCTCTTTGCTAATAAACTTATTTTCATGAATTTTTATTAAAAAATTAAACTTCAGGTGACCACGTAAGGGTTGGTTAATAGTGGATAAAGATTTTAATATAACTATTTAGACGAAATTCTTGTTATATGATATGTATGTTTATATATATTTAATTCATTAGGATTTTTTAATAGAATAAGGGTGAGAAACGAGCACACAGTCCACCTGCTGATAAGTGGATACTGTGGCCCGTAGACATCTACATTTATCCTCGATTAAGAATCAACACGCAGATGTGTTGTCACCCCTGAGGATTAAGATGGATTGCCTCGATTCCAGTAAAAAAGGGTCTCCGGATCTCTACACTCACCATACGAAACACAGCCGCTATTTACGCTGGTATTCTGTGAGTGCGTGGTCCTCCCCGGTCGAGCCGACCCATTCGTGCTACCACTATACTACTAATATAACTGCAGCATGGCTCTACCACGTATAAAGTTATAGTTTAAAAATAAGGGTTAAAGGGTTTAAAAATCAACAAATCTCATAAGAGTGTTTTTAGTGAAAAATATTTTGAATCTATTAAGTTATGGCCGTTCCGTAGCATGTGTATAAAATGGCTGGAATGATAGTAGCTGGTTTAAACACCGCATTTCCTGTGTTCAAATTGGAATGCAAAGTGGGGTCTTTTGTGCAAAAACATAAATTATTGTTAAAGAGTTTGTGTGGTTACATAAAGTGTTGTTGTGGTCGTACCCCGGTCGAGCCGACTCATTCGCACTACAACCAAAATATACAGCTGCAGAGTGGCTCTGGTTCTAACCGCGTATAAATTGAAAATTATTTCAAAAATGGAAAAAATATTCAAGAATTTTAAATATGCTTTAATATACCAAACATTGCTGCTTTTAACTTTATCATCAAAAGTTTCGTTGAGAAAAGTGTGAATATATTATAAAATAGCAGAAGTTTTTGAATGAATTATAAAATTAAAATAAATTTTAATAATTATTAATGTAACTTTGATGAATAATAATAAATAATTTAATTAAAATTTAAATTATTAGTACGAGTACCAAGATTTTTCATATAATTAGCACACTGTAGTTGTCTTTTAATAATGACCAATTCTATATTTGTATCGTTCGCAGTTTTATGTTCCAAGCGGGAGTACGTGTGAAAAATGTAACTTGTCTCTCCATCTTTCTAGATTCGTCGAATCAAATGCATTTAATGACTTACAAGCGTCTAAACGTGCGTGGTCAGTATCTGCAAATAGTCAACCATAAGTAGTAAAGAAAAAACTGACGGGAGCAGACTTTGTTCACATAAGTGGGCTAATGGTTCGCGTAGTGTATATATTCTTTGCTAATGGGGACTTCAGTTACTGTATACTATATCTTGACTGGTTTCGTGAAGCCTTTTTTTTTTGATAAAATTTATAGACAAAAAGAAACGTTGTATAATAACAAGATGTGAGCGATAAAGTTGTATAAAAGGGGTTATCGTAAAAAAGTTATAAATATTACTTTAATAATGACAACTTTTCGACGTTCAAATTTACGTGGTAAAGCCATGTTGCAGCTATATTACTGGTATAGTTATTGCACGAATGGGTCGGCTCACGCTTCAAATACCAGCGCAAAATAGCAGCTTAACGCTATTGTGTATGGTAAGTGAGGAAAACCAGAGATTCCTTTAACTGGAAACAAGGCATTACATCTTAGTCCTCACGGGGGCCAAAGCATTTGCTTTTTGATTCGTAATCGAGCATAGATGTAGATATCTATGGGTCACAGCAACCACTTAACATCAGTTCGTTTGTCACATTTATCCTTTAAAAAAAGAGGAATATAATAAGTTAAGCCTCATATTAGCATATTTTCATCATACGATGTGTTTAATAAAATTTGAAAACCTTCCAATCCAAAAAAAAATTGGAATGGTTCGAGAGGTAGCTGCCGTGCGTAGGATAATTCACTATCCCATATAATCCTGTAGGTAACATAAGAGGCGAATGAGGGAAATTACACAAGAGATGGGCAGTAGCGACTTCCTGATGACTCAAAATAATAATAAAGTGCAGTTTCCAACCCGCTTGCCACGCGTCGCAAGTGGCAACCACGGAAATGATGTCCACTATAAGTCAATCTAATGGGGAGGTCTTTGTTCAGCAACGGACCTTTGTGATGTAATGGTAATGGTGGGTCGAGAAGTTTAGTAATCGATTTGGTTATGAGATTATGACTTGATAGTTACCATATGACACTTTTTGACTTGAAGTTTTGTGTAATATCAATCAATAATTTTAATCAAAATATCATTAAATTTAAAATAGATATAATTATGTTTCTAAAACAGTTGTTCATTTCAGGGTTTAAATCCTGAATTTGTCATGACTGATAAGTTTTTAATAGTTTTGTGAATTTTAAAACTAAATTTTTCCGATAACTACTAGTTATGAAACGTATTTTGAAACATACGTATATGTATCTCTCAGTTCCACTTCCACAGTTCAAAAGGTTGAAGAACTCTTATCGGAATTCACGAATTCTATTCACTACTCTTATCTCTGTGACCTACTGATATTTTAGTTATAATTCCTTCTTATCGCAGCTCATTTTTGGATTTGAAATATTTATTATTTGATTAATACGAGCTTTATTATAAAACTAATAAATTTACCGCGGGGCGTGCCGGGTGGGGGTGGTTGTGTGTTTTCTGGGGGAGAAAAAAAAAAAAAAAAAAAACAAAATGGGGGCCAGGCCCAAAAAAAAAAGGAGGGAGGGGGGGGGGGCGCGGGCGGCAGGCAGGGTGGGGGGGGCGGCGGGAAGGGGGGGGGGATGTGGGGGGGGGGGGGTGGGTGGGCGCGGCCCTGTGGTGTTCTGTTGGGGTTTGGTGGGTTTTTATTTATATATATATATTATATATATATATATATATATATATATATATATATATATATATATATACTTGTTGTTTTTTAATGTAATTAACAAAGTACTAGAATATGTTAAGTCAACGGATTCCGTAATATGATGCAATTTATTATAAACAAATTATTGTTATAAAGGCTGTTATTTAAAGGGTTATTATAGTATTCATGTTTTTTCAGCAGATATATGTAATATAGCAGCAGAGATAGATAATTGGGCAGCAAACCATGGCTAGTAAACATAATTAAATCAATTACATAATTAAGCAATTTTTGACATTCTGGACGGCTTTAATTTTTTTAATTAATTAACTAAATTCATTTAATATTACATTTTATATCATTATAATGTACGCAGCTTTAGAGTGGCTCAAGGGCCAACCCAGCCGCAACTTGAACCTACTGTGAAAAAAAAAAAAATATAAACTTTAATACAACAGTCATTATATGAATATCCAATGTCAATGTCCAACTTGCTGATCAAGTAAGTATTTTGCGGACGGTTTATGAGGCAAACTCATATTATTGTAAGCTGCCAACTTGTGATTGAATTACTGAACATTATCAAGAATGTTTGCGAAACAAGAATTGCCGAATGTTTTTTTAAAAATTGCAAACAGAATCTTTGGATGCTAACCAAATGATTTAAATGCTGTTTGTTGTGGTCTCTCTTATATAGGATAAACAAAAAGATCAATTAGAACCCGCGTAAAAGAACATATACCTGATGTGAAGCATCAACGTTCCGGGAAGTCTGCAGTTTGTGATCATATCCTGGACGGCCCCAACTATTACATCAGATTTGATAGACCACAAATCCTCGCGAAAGAACACTGATTCCTACCAAAGATGACACGTGAGGCTATTGAAATTAAAAAACATCCTAATTTCAATAGAAAAGGAGGCTGGGTACTACCACCCGCTTGGGACCCTATAATCGATAAAATTAAAACTAAACCCAAGCATACCACTGCAAGACTTCAAGACATAGTCAGTTCATTTTGCATAGATCGGACCATAAACAATAATTAAAAAAGTTGAAGGTACTCCGAGTTTAATAATGACATCAGGACGTCAGTCACCTCAGTCCCCCGTGAGCATGGGCGCTGGAAAGCACCCGAAACGACGGGAATTAAAAATAAAAATAATTAAAATTAAACGCGATAAAATCCGTAAAAGTAGTTTTAATCAATGTGTAGTGTTCGCGTAAATATAAGAAATCATTATGTAAATGCTGTTTTTTGTGACTGACTAAATTTTATTAATGCTTAACATTTAATTTCCTCTCAGTTATAGGTATATATATGGCCCATTTTATTACATTGCTTAACAATACATGCGTTAGTTGGAAAGATTTGTTATTTCTCTAAAGTTAATCGCATCGAGCTAGGCTAGGTTTGAGTTTCCTTTGTTGTAAAAGTTGAATGGAATTCAAATTGCTAATCATGTGAGATTCAATGCCTTCGACACACAAGCGTATCTTTTTACCGCAAAAAGGAGCCCGCTCTTTATTGTTGACCTCATCTCAAGAATGTGTGCAGGAATTACTTGATTTTTTCCTCCTGCCCTCTTTCCACCATCGAATACCATACGGTTAACGGGTCTTCACAAATTTGTTGTCGATATTCCACGCATTCGAATCAAACGATCTGCTTAATTTTTCCACGAAGAGTGAAATAATACTTCAGCATGTCTTTGCGTCTAATAACAAATTCGGTGTCTGCAAAACGAGAGTGAATAGGCTTCTGTTACGTTAAATCATTGCGATTTACAATCTAAGGTTTCATTACCTCTTTCTCACAGGTGAGAGTTAGTTTATTTAAATTATTTTTAAAACTAAAAAAAGAAAACATTATTAGGGGTTCATATTGCATTTTACGTATCGTATGGAATTCGATTGGAGTTGATATTATCATCATTTGTTCTTATGATATGCCTGATAAAAAAATCAATAAATAAAGTGAAGAAGATACATTAATAATAAAAATATTTTATTCCAGAAGCGACAAACGATGTTATAGCAGCCGCTGGCTCAGCTCGAGAGGGTGGTGAAGTCGCTATTTTGATTAAACGACCTCATAGTAAAACGACGAGGCGTGAGGAGTTGATGCGTGCCATGAGCTCCTATGATAACGCCATCTCCCTTTATTATAATAGCAAGAATAATAAGGGTAAGTGAAACAAATGCAATAAAGATTTACAATGTCCAATTTAAATTTCTTCTTCTTCTTCTTCATCATCATCATCATTCATCATTCATCATCATTACAGTCCTTCATAAGTCCACTGCTGAACATAGGCCTCTCCCAAGGAATGCCACAAACCACGGTACTGAGCCAGTGGGGGGTTTGACCAACACTACGCCTACCGGTACGAGGCTGCCACTCGGGAACATTTTTCCCCATATTGTCGGTTCTACGAGTTACATGGCCGGCCAATTGCTACTGCAGTTTACTAATCCGTAGGGCTATGTCGGTTACTCTGGTTCTACTGCGGATATACTCATTTTTAGTTGATCACGCAGAAAAACGCCGAGCATAGCCATCTCCATAGATCACAGAACGACCTTGCGCGTCCTCATACCTCATTTCTTCATCATTAGTCCGTAAGAGTTCATAGCTGCATGGTGGGCGTTTTACATTGTTGGGAGATTCCATAATCGAGGTGGATTAATGGTCGTAATATCAGACATCTTTTGACACGATGAGATTGTTTTACATCGCAGGTATAGTTATTTTATGTCTAACATAAACGAGATAATAATACCACGATCTATCGAAAACCAAAAGATTTTTTGTACATTTCCCATGGTCACCTTTTACAATATCCATAAGGTGTTTTTTATTTTAAAATATTCAGTTACAAAAATCAAGATTATGTTTTTGAATTTCGGTCACAAAACAGCAAGTAATGAGCGCGCAAGGCCTTCACATTGAAAGTATGTCACGTCACAGCTGCAAGAAAACGCAGTGGTTGTTGTTCGCGCGAACAGCATGCGTGTAGCACGCCTGAGCTAGCCAATCAGTCACTATAACGTAAATCATGTTGCGAACCCCTACGATCGACTGGCGAATTCCTAGGGATTTGCGTATTCCACTTCGTAAAACCCAGTCTTACACCATTACGTATCATACGTATATAAATAGCAGGTCACCCTATAATAGTAAGATGATTGATGATAACTTATGATTTTATCATTGTTTTTTCAGTTTCATTGGAAAGTTTAAATGGTAGTACTCTGAAGTCGGTGTCGTGGAGTGTGGGCACCGATCCTCGTGGCGTACTTGTATTTGTTGCGTCATCCAAACGAGTAAAACTTTTTGTTGGATGTAAAACTCTTCATTGGCACGATATGCCAGAGAAGCACGACGTGCTAGAGTTATTCTCACAACAAAAGCTAAAATTGGTAAGTTTTCATCACTTCTTGAACTGCAATGTGAAATAAAAGTTTCAATTTTTTTATAATTATTTTATTTGATTATTGGCTTAATGTTTTCTAATCATCGATTAGTTTTGCAATAAAAATAAACTGTTTTAATGGTTTAGAAAGACTATTTGAATAACTTTCGTTTTTGATAGTAAATTTTTAAGGTTTTGCTTAGTAAACTAATCCATTAAAATATTTTTACTAAAGTATTCCATAATTTAATTTTTATTAATCTGAAACATACCTTTTTATCTGTATGAATTTTACTAAATTTCATTTAGAAATTTTATTTTTTGCGCGATTTCAGTATCACGAAGAAAATATACCTGTTGAGGTATATGGGAATGACCGTGCAGCATTAGATTCTATAGGTTGCGACATTCATAAAGATTCCAATAAACCACCAACTCTAGTGTCAGTTGATGAAACTGACGTTGAAGAGGTGAAAGATTTTATTGCGAGAGATGCTAGATGGAAAAGAGAGGAGGAAGAAGAGATGCAAGGAGATGATTATAGAACAAACTTTATAGATCCTAATGGTGTTCTTCCTCAACCTTCACAGCCAACTACACAAAGGGGGGATATTCCGTCGACAGATATAGAATCTTGTGATGGTATGTAGTATTTAATTTAATTCAGTTCTTATTGCATTTTTATCTTGACAGCCACTTATGAAAGTTCATTTTCTTGTTACTTTCAATAATATATAAACTTCTTTGCTCTATGCAAAATGGAAATGAAAAATAATTAATAAGATAAGGCGTTACTTTGCAGAAATCCATTATATTAAAGTTAGTACAAATGACCTTGCGTACATCCGCTCAATGAAATTAAACTTGGTAAACTCTTTAAACTAGGTAAGACATATAATTTTATTTCATTGTGCGAATATACGCAAGAAAACGATGTACGAAAGGAAAAAGACGTCATTCTTAAGATAATATTTTTTTCCTTAGATGAAGTGATTCGTCAATTAAAACTTCTGCGACAAACGATAGATATACTGCGTCGAGAGATGGCCGATCAGAAGGGAAATATTGACAGTTTGAGAAATCAGCTTCGTGCTTGCTGCAACAGAGTACCTTCTCCTCCCCCTGTTGAGCGTTGCTCTGGATCTTCATGCTATCCTGGTTATTAAAACATTTTTTACCTCGTTTTTAACTCGCATTGTTTTAAGTTTTTGAAAAGCTTTTAATTTGTGTAATTGCTTTAGCTGTTATTAATTATTTTTGATTTACTTTAATGTATATTAAAGATTGAATGTTCGTCGTTTTGTACAAAGGTAAATCAAGCAACATTTGTATGTAAACTATGTGGGTTTTAATTAAATACTTCGCAAACATTAAACGCGTTTTATTTCGCAAGCCACATTCCTTTATTGGTTTAGTTCACTAATTCTATTCCCTTCTTGCACAATACGCGAAATTAATGAATTTTAAAGTTGCTTGATTAATCTTAACAAAATTGTTTGCGTTATTATGTTGAAAAAAAAAAAAAATTTAGAAATATCAACTGAAACAAAAATTTTAGTAGGATTAGTTACAGCCTATATACATCCCACTCCTGGTAACAAGCTTCTTTTAATTTCTGAGAAGGTAGGACAAGTCCGCCACGTTGCCCCAATTCTGTTGGTGGCCTTCCCATGCCTTCGAAAATTTGTTTTTACATTTCAAAGACATTCAGGTTTACTCACGATGTTTTCTTTCACCGTAGATTACGTGGTAAATCAGCACTTAAAATTGTAATTAATAATTTCATTGCTGCCGGCGGTGATCGGACCCGAGTTGCTCGTGTAGGTACTCTAAGATTTACAGGGAGCGCTTCTTTACCCCTGAGTTACCGCAGCTCAAAGGCAGGATTGATTACTGTCGATTGACCTTTAATAATAATAATTATTATTTTATTTCAGATACAAGCTCCATACTTTGTTAGTAATAAATAATATAAACTTAAAATTAATATTAATAAAATGCAACTAAAACAAAAATGCTTATTTTATATTAAATATAACAGCTCTGGACCCCATATGCACAGTGTTCCAGTGCCGCACAACCGGACAATCAAGCCTTCCTAATACAGTACATAGGAGTCCGTTGGCACTGTCTCGCACGCGTCGCATCAGGGAGGCCACTCTCTTCCGCACTATTGTATCAAAGCTGTCCGTGTTAGCCTCAACAAACATACCTGATGCGCTGCAATATCGAGACAGCCCCATCAGCACCCTAAAGCCGTTATTGTCCTGATCACGTAGAGCATTTACAGATCTGCGAGTATACTTGACCCACAGGCTGCTGGTGTAAAATGTTTGGCAGTACGCCTTAAAAAGGGTTATCTTGACAGCTTTTGTACACCTTGCAAACCTGCAAGCCAGCATGTTGCACCTCATTGCTAACGCTCTACGTTCTCATTCAATATCCCAAGTCACCAGAGAGGTCCTCTGTAACCCAGTGCCCCAGGTATTTAAATTTGGTGACTCTACTTAAAGGTACTCCTTCAAGCCTGACCAGTGGGATAGCCTTGGGATCTTTATTCACTGCCTTGAAAACAAGTAGTTCACTCTTTTTGGAGTTATACCTGAGGCCATGGGCTTCTGCATATCTCTCGCATAGATTTATTAATGTCTCGAGTGCCCTGATCGAAGGGCTAAGCAGCACCGTGTCGTCCACGTAACTGATGCTGTTTATATGCAATCAAAATTTAATATGCAATTGGCTATTATTATAAGTATACAATTTTATTAACAGAAAATCAATGAAATTTATCATCATCATCAGTTACATTTTACGTCGTTAGATCTTAGACTTGACCTACAAATTTGAATACAAAAACAAAAGTGTTCAATATTTTGACAAATAATAGCTCCAATGAGCATAGGCAGAATACTTGTTTAGTCCTTTTTATCTCAAATAAGAAAGAGAAATCTCGTTGTCATCAAAAATAAGAAGTTATTTTTCCTATTTCTAAGGCTTTTCACCATTTCCTCAACAGCTGAGCATTTTATTCAATATTATCTAATCATGTTTATATTTTTATTATTATATTGAGTATTGAGTATGAGGTTATAAAGCTTAAAGAGACACTAACGAGCTATCGGTTCACTATGCCTTTACCAGCAAAGTTCTGCATCCAGTATACTTTTTATAGCCATAAAATATATGATTCCAACACTAACCAAAAATAGCAAAAGGCTTATTTTAATGTGTAATCTTCAAATAACATTATTGTTTCTAAAAGAAGCACAACATCATGGAGTTATGGTGGAGTGTATATTATTGGTGCTAAAGTTAGTGTAACACAGGTGTGGAATGTCGAAACACGGCAACGGGGTACCAATGTGGTTCATGTCCGCGTGGTATGGAAGGCGACGGAAGACGTTGTAGACCGATACTATGTAATAGAAGACCTTGCTCCCAAGGTAAGTTACAACTTTCTTGCAGCTTCGAAGTTTTGAATACTATAAATTAAGCTCTTTCTGTTCGTTTATTTATGATGTGATAATAATGAATGGAAGGTTTTTCTTTTTATTGACTTTTGTATCTAGGAAACATGTCAATTATGTTGTTGTTTTATTATATTTGTCAGATAATATCCTTTGCGGATTTTTACAATCGAAACTTAATTTGACTGACTTTCAAAATTGAAAGAGTTTTAAACATTTTAAATTTCTGTCTTTTATAAGTTAATAAAAAATATTATAAAAACGCTTAATAAAAAATATTATATTTTTTTCCTGGCTAGCTTGAAGTTTTTAAGATTGAAAATAATCGAACATAGTAAAACAAAAATGATCAATTCTATTCTTGCGTCGACAATAAGTTTGATGTTAGCATATTATATTAAAATGGTCCTTAAAGTCGTAATAGATAAAAAAAAACATTTTTACGAAACATACGAGTATATTAAAATATCAAATGTTAACTACTTAAAATAACTTTTGCAGATTGCATCTTTTTGCGTAACTACTTTTGATTGTTTAATTTTATTTTATAGAATAAGGGTGACAAACGAACGCCCAGTCAACCTGATGGTAAGTGGATGCTGTGGCCCACGGACATCTACATTTGTCCTCGTTTAATAATAAAATATGCAGGTGCGATGTCACCATTGAGAACGAAAATGGAATGCCCCGTTTCTAGTAAAAGAAAGTCTCCGGTTCTCTACACTCACCATACAAGTCACAGCAGCACTGCGCTGAACTGAACTGAGCTAACACTGAAAGCGTTCCTGTTTTTATCGAATAAATGCCTCGTCTCTATTTTAGTAACATTCTGATGGTGTCGCCACTAGAAGATTACTAAAAGGCAGACGTCTCTTTACCACACCGTATACGATGAAAAAATTGAAATTAGCTTATATGATGTTATAATATATGTTCTGCTACTTACATAGCCTTAGAAGAGGTTTTAACTATGGTTTAATTCTAGTGGAATACTGCGTGGACTCCGAACAAGGTTACCGTTGTGAGAGATGTCCGGGTGGGCAGAGCAGTGATGGTCAGACTTGTCATTCTGCTTGCAGTTCCAATCCTTGCTTTGGTGGACGTAAGTGTCGTTTTTTTGATGTAAAACCATACACGTATGTTTACATATTAATTATCAAGGTAGAGAGTTATAACCATGGGAACGAAGACAATGGTGTCTTATTAGACGTAAAATGTACGGCAGTTCTCATAGTAGTTTGTGATGTGACTAAGAGAATCCAGAATATACTGAAAATTAGGTTACAATAATAAACAGCTATCTTATAATAGTTAAACTAGCTTTCTCGACAGAAATTGTTCTGTCCTTTCCTTTGATGGCAGCGATGGCGGCTGATAGAAGGTGACGCGATGAGTTTCACTTTTGTCTCGCTCATGTTATACACAAAGATTTAAATAGTTAGATGCGCCTTCATCTTGAAAACTGTGGCATTATTTTTGGATGTGTTCGTTTGCAAGACGCTGACGCGCGCACACTATTGCAATATTGTCATCTCTTATTATCTTATAGAAATTGTGTATACTACTTTCTCTGTCGCATAAATAAGCACTGATTGCGAATGAGTGAGCTCACTCATTTGAGAATGGACACATTTCGAAGTGGTCATAATATGGTAAGGGCGCATCTAACTATTTAAATCTTTGGTTATACATATAACTCAAGCTCAACTTCAATGCTACCAAGGTGTAGATTTCAGGATTATCTTTTATCTTCTTTTTTTTAATAAACCAACATAAATTGTGAATATAAGGCACAGAACTTACGATCATTTGACTATAGCGCCATTTGTCGGATCCTAGAGTCAGAGTCGGATCCTAAAATTCGGCTTAGCTGTAAATCATTGTGTTACCAGAATACAAGTGGTAAAAATTGATCTTGATCAAATTTATATAGAGCCACATGAGAAGCACCGGCTTTCAAATAAAAAAAGAATCATCAAAATGGGAATTATTGAAGTCGATTGAAAATAACATATTGTGTAAAGAATTACATAACTTAATTTCTCCGTCTCCCTTCCACTATCGACCCACCAGACTCTCGGTCAGTCTCCATACTTTCGGTATCGATTTACCACGCATCCGAACCAAACGCTATGTTTCATCATTCTTCTTCATACCGCAAAAGAGTGAAGAAGCTTTTGCTAAGTATAAGTTGAGGGCAATGCCATTAATACCATCAGGTGGGATTAAATGTATAATAATAATCCATGAAAATTAATAGGATGCAGATTTGTTATCACTCTTGAAAACTAAGAGGATTGTTTCTTTTCTTAAAAGTTCGATATTTCATCATTCGTCATACTGCAAAGAGTGAATAAGCTTTTATTAAGTGCAAGGTAAGGGCAATGCCATCCATACCATCGGGTGGGATTAAATGTATAATAATCCATGGAAATAAATAAGATGTCGATTTGTTATCACGCTTGAAGACTAAGAGGATTATTTCTTTCCTTAAAAGTTCGATGTTTCATCATTCGTCATACTGCTAAGAGTGAATAAGCTTTTATTAAGTGCAAGGTAAGGGCAATGCCATCCATACCATCAGGTGGGATTAAATGTATAATAATCCATGAAAATAAATAGGATGTCGATTTGTTATCACGCTTGAAGTCTAGCAAGACGATTATTTCTTTCCTTAAAAGTTCGATATTTCATCATTCGTCATACTGCAAAGAGTGAATAAGCTTTTATTAAGTGCAAGGTAAGGGCAATGCCATCCATACCATCGGGTGGGATTAAATGTATAATAATCCATGGAAATAAATAAGATGTCGATTTGTTATCACGCTTGAAGTCTAAGACGATTATTTCTTTCCTTAAATAGTTCGATATTTCATCATTCGTCATACTGCAAAGAGTGAATAAGCTTTTATTAAGTGCAAGGTAAGGGCAATGCCATCCATACCATCAGGTGGGATTAAATGTATAATAATCCATGGAAATAAATAAGATGTCGATTTGTTATCACGCTTGAAGTCTAAGACGATTATTTCTTTCCTTAAAAGTTCGATATTTCATCATTCGTCATACTGCAAAGAGTGAATAAGCTTTTATTAAGTGCAAGGTAAGGGCAATGCCATCCATACCATCGGGTGGGATTAAATGTATAATAATCCACGGAAATAAATAAGATGTCTATTTGTTATCACGCTTGAAGACTAAGAGGATTATTTCTTTCCTTAAAAGTTCGATGTTTCATCATTCGTCATACTGCAAAAGAGTGAATAAGCTTTTGTTAAGTGAAAGGTAAGGGCAACGCCATCCATACCATCGGGTGGGATCAAATGTGTAATAATCCATGGAAATAAATAGGATGTAGATTTGTTATTACGCTTGAAGACTAAGAGGATTATTTATTTCCTTAAAAAATGCACAATTTTCATTCATCCGTTGCAACATGGAATACATTAAGCAACTTCTGTGACCATTTCCTTATGATTATTTTTTATAGAATTTTAGTCAAGGTTTGGTTTTCAGGTGTGCAATGTCAAGACTTACCGGGTGGTGGATATCGCTGTGGCCCTTGCCCCTCTGGTTTCCATGGTAACGGCGAGGAGTGTCAAAGGATTTCGTGTCGTCATATCTCTTGTTATCAGGGTAAGTGCAAAAATCTTATAAGGCTTAAGTGTTGTTAGAACGACATTTTTAATACATTTTATTAATTAATTTTATAACATCACATCCGTTCTAGCTAAATATGCATTAATTTAGGTTACTTGCTTGTTTGGTAACTTTACATTGTATACCAAAGAAGATATTAATGGAGGAAGATCAGTGCATTGCAATTAAACGAAAATTAATTAGACTAGTTGGTATTTTTTTTAACTTATATTACGACCGATCAACCGACCATACGACTAAAGGGCCTTTAACAAAAGCATTTTTTTAAAGCAGGCAACGCACTTGTAATCTCAGTAGTTTACAGGATGCATTTTTTAAAAGTGTGCACAGGAATTAATCGCCTTAGTTCCTGCCACCCCTTTCCACCATCGGACAATCAAGTCGGCGGACCTTCACCTCTTTGTTGTCAACATTCCACGCATTCAAAGCAAATAATTTGCTTTGACTTTTTTGAATAACTGATATATAATTTGAAATACATGTATGATTTTATTTTATATCATTTTAAAGTCTACGATAAATTGATAATATGGAATCAATTATTTAATATAGTCTTAAGTGTTTTATACTATGTTTTTCATGTGATTTATGCTTTATTAGGCGTGGAATGTCAAGAGACATCATCAGGTCCTCAGTGTGGGGCATGTCCTAATGGATACATGGGAGATGGACAAAGATGTCAGCACGTTTGCGACGCGAGAAAACCCTGTGGTGAAAGAAGATGCACGCCTACTTCCTCTAGTCCATTCTATGAGTGCCAAGAATGTTCTAGAGGATACCAGTGGAATGGTGAGATTATGTTTTTTCATCATCATCATCATCACAGAACATTACAAATCCACTACTCAACATAGGCCCTACCTATAGATTAATGGAGGGGGGGGGAGTTTTGCCAAACTTGCCACATTTGGCAAACGGTTAGCAACCGCAGTGTTTTTGTTTAATATTATATATATCTCTAGGCACAATTTCCCTCTCTTGCCTCTTATTACACCTATTAGATGATGTAATTGTAATTGTAAGTGGACGCCACCCCTACACGGCTGTGTTTGCCATATTTTTTATTTTATTTTCATTTAAGTTTACACAGTCGGCGTGGAAAACAAAGTAAACCGTCATCTATAAGTAGACTATCACTACAGGCCGTTGGAATTTTCAAGAATGTTATATACAATCAATGGCAAACAACTTGAGCATTCGCGAAAAACGAAAATACGGTAACAATTGAGGAACGTATGAGGCGCTGGGGCTATCCTTACAATCAGCAAGGGGATCCGCGCAGTAAACATCATAAGTGCTTAAGTTGTTTGCTGATTATTACACTTCTTAAAAGATTTTTGAACATACTATGCTGGGCTGGCAGGTCGGTGAGCGGAAGTGCGATTGTGTAACTCTGGCGGGAATCGTGGTTTGCTTAGTTTTACTTACTTTTCACATTTTTGGTTTTTTTGTATTGTGTAAATGTATTAGTATTGATTATAAGCCTATAGCTAATGCATATTTAGAGTAGAGACTTAGATTTAGACAGACTCCAGACTTTTCTGTGAACATGTTCAAGATCGTCCCCACCATTACATCAGATTTGATAAATCACAAATCCTCGCAAAAGAACGCCGATTCCTACCAAGGATGATACGCGAGGCTATTGAAATTAAAAAAAAAACATCCTAATTTCAATAGAGAAGATGGATGGATGCTGCCGTCTGCTTGGGATCCTATAATTAACAAAATTAAACCCAAACCCAAGCATACCACTGCAAGACTTCAAGATACTGTAAGCTTGTTTTGCGTAGATCGGACCGAAAAATTAATATTAAAACTGAAGGTAGCCGTGCAGTAACAGAAAGCAGTAGCAGGAAGTATGACATTGGGACGTCAAACATCTCAGTACCCCCCTCCCCCCCTGTGACCATGGGTGCTGTATGGCACCCGAAACGTCAGGAATTAAAAATAAGTAAAAGTAGTAAATTAAACGCGATAAAATCCGTAAAATTTAGTTTTATTCTATGTAGTGTTTGCGTAAATTTAGGAAATCATTATCGAATTTTATTTTAAAAGTATTATCATAATGAACATAACGCGTGATATCTACCGGCAAATGATTCTCGCCAGTTACATAATCGCACTGTGGTTTGAGAGTGAAGTAAAAGCTCAGACAAACGTAAAAACTTGGTGGTCATTAGTTATTTGAATTCTATCATCAAGCAATTTATGTTTATCAAAGAAGTCTAGGAATCTTAGTGGGGCGAGGACGTGTAAAAAGCTGTAAAACGATGTGTCTCTTTCCACCAAAGCTGTATGAGGAAGTTAAGCGTCGCGGGAATACCTTACGGATGTATTTACCTTTGGTAGTCTAGTAGCTCCCTTATCCACACCGTTCCATATACATTCTTCGCACAGATTCCATGCTCGCCTCTCTTCCTTGCGTATTTCGGACGAATCTCTCACTTGTTTTGTACATAAAAGGCCTCGCTCCGCTAAACTCTTTTCCACCGGAGCTGCATTGTGCGACGCTAGAAAATTAAGTAATCCTATAAGTAAATTTTTCGTCATTTACTGCTCAATACCTCGCACAGCTTTATAAGGAACTGTAAAAGATAAGTATCTGACAAACCTGATAACGCAACTTTGATGATAAAGAAATGTCTTATCTGTGAGCATACTTAGTTTCATATTAAGAGATTCTTATTTCAAATTCCTGACCTTGCCCTCTGAACTTTACTAAAATATGTTCTAGTTATAATTTGTAATCGATTAAGGATTAATACTAAGGTTTAAGCAAAGTTTTACTCTTGAAACATTAAGAGGCCTATCGGATTCTTTTCCAATTCAAAACGTAAAAAATATATTCAGGATACACGTGCGTGGATATCGACGAGTGTGATTTAGTCCGTCCGTGCGATGATCTGGTGTCTTGCCGTAATGAGGAGGGCGGCTTTACGTGTGGGCCGTGCCCGGCGGGGTACACGGGCAGCGCGGGCTGGCGCGGCGCGGGAGATGATCGCCGCCGCGAGCGCTGCATCGACATCGACGAGTGCGAGGACGGACGCACGAACTGTCCGCGGGGCCGCCTCTGCGTAAACACACCGGTGAGTTAGCACACGAGTGCGAGGACGGACGCACGAACTGTCCGCGGGGCCGCCTCTGCGTAAACACACCGGTGAGTTAGCACACGAGTGCGAGGACGGACGCACGAACTGTCCGCGGCTTTGGTGAGTGGGGGCCGCCTCTGTGGTGAGTTAGCACACGAGTGGAGGACGGACGCACGAACTGTCCGCGGGGCCGCCTCTGCGTAAAACACCGTGGGAGACGAACTGTCCGCGGGGCCGAGTTAGAAGAGTGGGAGGACGCACGAACTCGCGGGGCCCGTAACACACCGGTGAGTTAGCACACGAGTACGAGGACGGACGCACCAATTGCCCGTATATCATATTCGTACGGTATTTGTATTTTCACTTGATTCAATTCCAGTCTTATTTAGTAAAATCGAAGCTCCTGTCTTAAAACCAACACTTACTGGTAAATTATTCATGAAATATTCCCAAAACTGTAAATATCACTACAATATTTATAAGTGTTATGATTCTGATTATTTTCGTACATTCCAGGGCTCATACACTTGCGTTCCTTGCGGCGGGAATTATTACGTGAACACTTCACGGCCTTGCCTTGAGCCGGACTCGCTAATTCAGCGCTGCGAGCCGTCGCGTTGTCGCCGCTTCAATGCCGTCTGCGGTTACGGACAGGAGTGCGTGTGTGCGGTAAGTACTATGTATTGTCTAGTGAACTGACAGTTATTAAGTCAATACTTAGTGTAGCTACTACGTTGTTTGCTACAACGAGTGATGTAATGAGAGCTTATAATCTTACGCTCGCTAGATGTCGCTAGTTAATACTGAGGTGAACTTTTTGTATCACAGATCATTATCACCACCACCCTACACAGTGTCATCATCACCGAAAAGAAGCGTTTCGAATGAAACCGGTTACTAGTGTACTTAAATATACAAAACAATGCCTTATTGCTGTGTTCTTTAATTTTTTTACACATTTTTAACTTTTTTAATTCTCCTTTTAGGAGTATCCGTAGTTTGGTCTATCCATTTATAATCTAATAATATAAAATGTAACTAGTATTTCAGAAAGATACTTTAATTTCTTCACATTTATAACAAATTATCTTCCCCTGCCATGAAATATGTCAAATATCCACCTCATTCCTAATCGGCACCGCCCTGGTGGAAAAAAAGTTGTGGATATATTATCAGTCCACGCGAGACGAAGAAATTAAGAAAACACTATTCTTTAAATCTAAGTTTTAAAATTTCAGACAGGGTGGGCTGGCAATGGTACTGTCTGTGGGTCGGACAGGGACTTAGATGGATATCCGGATCACGCGCTTCCCTGTGACGAGATACACTGCAAAGCTGACAACTGTCCAGATGTTTCAAATTCCGGACAGGAAGATGCTGATCGTGACGGTATTGGTGACTCCTGCGATCCAGATGCCGATGGAGATGGCATTCCTAATATTCCAGTAAGTAAACCTATGTTCTTAAATAATACCAAAGTGTTGGTTGCTTAATCGATTATAGTTTAAAAAATTTTGACAGAAGAAGAATAGAATAGAATACTCCCGCCCATTTTGATAAACTACAAATTCTCCCAAAATGGCACCGATTGTTACCAAGGAAGATTAGTAAAGCTAATGAAGTAAAAAAAAAACATCAAAATTTCAACAAAGATAGCTAGGTATTAAAATATGCTTGGGATCCTATGATTAATAAAATTAAATCCAAACCCAAGTATACCACTACGAGACATCAAGATACTAGTAAACTCATTCTGCGTAGATCGGACTAAAATTTAATATTCAAAAGCTTAAGTTGTTGGGACGTCAAACACCTCAATCTCCAGCGAGAAATCCAGCGGGACTTTTAAACTATGTAATAACTTATTACATAATATGATCTACTAGATGTGAACAAAGTAGGTATTAAAACCAGTAGTTTCTATGTTTCAGTTGAAATATTAAACAAGCAAAATGTTTGTATCTTTCAGGATAATTGCCCACTAGTATCAAACCCGGACCAACTGGATCGAGATGAAGACCGTAGCGATAAGAGAGGAGACGCGTGTGATAACTGTCCGCGTCGGTATAACCCCGGGCAAGAGGATGCGGATCGCGATGGGCTGGGGGACGTCTGCGATCCTGATATGGATAACGATGGTATTAAAAACTTTAGAGAAATAAAATAACAATTTGATAGCACTAAAAATTGCAATAGACAACTTCAGGAGTGTTGACGGAGCTTAAACTCAGATGCACTGTGACTATGAAAACAAGTGATGTTTGCGCGCCCAAATCTTAAACTACCACAGTGGCATGATTAAAGAAAACATATGAGTTATACAGGAGCATCCCTTTACAAAAAGTAAAATAACAAAGTTTACTACCTAAAGGCCTGTCTGGGCGTCTCTACCTATTTCAGGCATTAAATAGAAGTACAATTACAATTGTGATCCGCTTTATGGGGCGTGATAGCCCTTATAATTACAGGCCGTAACATCCTAGTAAATCAAAACAAATTCAGATACGCACAAAAGTCTTGTCACAATAATATGTGCAGGCGGAAACAAAGCTGTCGCAGTGACACACTTATATTTCTTAACTATACAGTGACTTATGTCATAATTCAACAACCGTTTACCTGATGGTAAGTGTGACTACAACCAATAAAATAATTTATAGAAAGAATGCTACAGATGCGTTATCAATTCTAGGAATTAAGATGGAATGCCTACTTTCCAGTAAAATTCGGTTCTTTACGATGATCATATGACATACAGCAGCATTAAGCGCTGCTTTTTCACTTTGGTATTTTGTGAGAACCAGGTTCATCGCCAGTTGAGCCGTTTGCTAAAACCATAATAGCATGGCTTCTACCACGTAAAATAAATTATATATTATAATGATATTTGTAACTAATGGGTAATTAAATGAGTAACTCGCAGGTATCCCGAACGAGCAGGACAACTGCCCGCGCGCGTACAACCCAGCGCAGGAGGACGCGGACGGCGACGCGGTGGGTGACGCGTGCGACAACTGCCCACGCGTGCGCAATACACCGCAGGACGACGCTGACCGCGACGGAGTCGGTGACGCCTGCGACAGCGACGTCGACCGCGACCAGTCAGTACCCTGCACGCTTCTGTATCTAACCCCCGGCAACACACTCGTCGAGTGGCGTGGGAAGTAGTGAGGAAAGGAGGCAGAGACATAGTGTGGTCACAATACTCATCATGCTCCTCGTCATCACTTCATCTTTTGTCAGTTTTTTAGCCGTGAGTCAAGGGACTGGCAGTGGCCGACGACATAATCGCGCGAACGCAGTTCGAATCGAACGCTTGTTATGGAACGTCGTTCTATTGCGATGAATAGATGTCATCCACCATCTCCATTGGCGAAGACGACTAAGTATATTTCTTTTTGATGACATGAATATAGTTAGCTGTAATGTAGCTGTATGTGTAGCTAAATATGCATACAACGCGTATGCTGCAACAATTTCAACAACCACTAAGTTGCAAATATGAGCGGCGTAGTGCAAAGCGTCACGATTAATTGCGCGATTAGAGCGTTCTTTGGGCAGAGAGGGTAATATCGCGGCAGCACGAGAGGTAAGTCGATGAGCTTAGTGTGACGGAGTCATAAAAGTAGCCGAGGCGTGGCAATGTACATTTATTTCCATCATCATCATCATCATCAGCCCTTCACAAGTCCACTGCTGAACATAAGCCTCCCCCAAGGAATGCCACAAAGCACGGTCCTGAGCCACCTGTATCCATCGTCTTCTTGCATGTATTGCCAGGTCGTCACTCCATCTAGTGGTGAGTCGCCTTACACTACGCCTATCTGTACGAGGCTGCCACTCGAGAACCTTTTTACCCAACGGTTGTCGGTTCTTTGAGCTATATGGTCAGCCCATTTCCACTTCAGCTTACTAATTCGTTGGGCTATGTCAGCCACTCTTGTTCTACTGTGGATAACCTCATTTCTAAGTTTATTTTGCAGAGAAACCCCGAGCATAGCTGTCTCCATAGCTCGCCACGCTCGCTGAGCCACCTTGAGCGAAGTCATATGGTCGGCAGTGAAGGAACACGTCTCAGATCCATAAGTCATCACTGGCAACAGGCATTCGTTGTACAATCTAGTTTTCAGGTTTTGAGGTATACCTGACAAGAAGATGTGTCGTAATTTCTCGAACGCTGCTCAGCCGAGTTAAATCCGTCGATTGACCTCTCAGTCGAAGTTGGACTTACCTAGTCAGACTATTTATCCCAGATAAACGTACTCGTCAACAATTTCAAGCTTGGTGCTCCCAACAACTACCGGCATAGGTGTGACATGGACATTAAACATGATCCTTGTTTTGTCCATGTTCATCTTTAAACCTATCCGTTGGGAGATACTATTGAGTCATTGAGCATAGTGCTTAGGTCTGCCAGCGATTATACTATAGGAACTATATCGTCGGCAAATCGAAGGTGGGTGATGTACTCGCCATTGATGTTAATATTGTATCCTTTCCAGTCCAGTAGCATGAAACCGTGTCCCAACGCAGCGGTGAAGAGTTACAGGGATATGACGTCGCCCTGTATTACACCTCTCTGCAGTTGGATAGGTTTCGAACTCTGGTTATGTACTCGGATAGCCATTGTAGCCCTACTGTAAAAACACTTCAGCACTTCGATACACTGACAGTCAACTTGGTACCGCTGAAGGGACTGTAGCACCGCCCAAATTTCGACGGGACCAAAGGCTTTCTCATAGTCCACATACGCCAGGCAAAGTGGAAGATTGTAGTCTTCGGTCTTCTGTATAATTTTTTTGGAAACCGGCTTGTTCGGGAGGCTGGAAGTCGTCGAGTCTGCGTGGGAGACGATTCGTAATGACTCTCGACAACAGCACGTAGACGTCGTTCAGAAGGGAAATCGGTCGGTAGTTCTTCAAGAGAGCGTTCTCGCCTTTCTTGAAGAACAAGACCACCACACTTCTGCTCCACGCCTCCGGAGTAGTGCCACCATGGAGGACAGAATGGAAGAGCTTCTGAAAGACTATAAGTACCGGTATTTCACCCGCTTTCATAAGCTCCGCTGTAATTCCATTCCCGCCTGGGGCTTTGCCATTTTTAGGGTTCTGAAGAGCCATTCTTATCTCGCTCAGACTGAAGTCTGGGATACCATCGGAATAGTGTCGGATACGAATTGCTTTTGGATTGTTACTCACACTTGCGTGTGGCTAATACGATGATATGTACAGCTGCCCATAGGACCTCCCAATATCATTCAAAATCTCAAGTGTCCCGAAAACGATGCTGCTACACTCAGCCTTCAGCTTTGACAGTTAGATTGTTTCCAGATGGTTTATTTCCAAAGTGGAAGGCAATTCAGAAAACTAATGATAAGAAAATCTGGGGATACACTTTGGTGTTGCAGCTACAGCTACATATTCATCATCTACATCTAAAATTCAATTACACCACTCTATGGCTAAAAGATTAAAGAATTCGTTACGTTGAGTGACTACTGTGACGCATCGCTGCCATGTTGAGGTCATTCCGTTTCATAAGGGCGACAAACAAGGACACAATCCAAGGGTGGATGTTATAAACACATCTGTCTTCGGTTAAAACTTAAAATACGGATGCCATGGTATTCGTATGTACTTAATATGGAATGGCACGTTACCCGTAAAATGTTATCCGATTCTCTGCGCTCACCATTCGATACACATCGGTAACATGCTATTATTTTATGTTCGTGTTTTCTTTATCTATCTGGATACATAGAAAGTGTTAAAATAAGATCCAAAAATCATAGGAATAATTTATAAAGTAATATCTAAAAGTATATAAATAACACTATTGCTTTTCAGAGACGGCATTCAAGACGGTCTGGACAACTGTCCAAATTTAGCCAACAGTGATCAACTAGACGTAGATAATGATGGAAAAGGTGATGCTTGCGATGAAGATATCGACGGAGATGGAGTTCCTAATTTGGAAGACAATTGCCCTCTCGTACCAAACCCTAGTCAGCTTGACAGTAATAGTAAGAAAATACATTATACTATTTTAAATAAATCTAGGCAGTTATAATTGTATAACAATGATCTCATTATTATGCGAATATTTGTACATATTACGCATTTCATTACACAATTTAGGTTATTTGTAATTAAAAGATATACTCGTACTAACTAACATATTATGATATTAACTAATACCACTACAGTTAGATTAATAAATAAAATTATTGTAGATGATGGAATTGGTGATTTATGCGACAACGATTTCGACGGAGACAATGTTACGAATTCTTTAGATAACTGCCCCAACAATTCCAGAATATTCCGAACGGATTTCAGGTGAGATTTTGCCGTAAATTAATCGTAGCATCAGTCGCACAAAAATTTTCACATATAGCAACAAGAAGTGTTATCGCACTCTTTTTCCTTCCGAGACGAGTTCCTTTCAATCTGTGACCACCTCGGTCATGCCACGTAACATTTGCAAGCATGACGAATTGTAAACTCTATAATGCTTCATATTTTGGACAAGTTTAATAGCAATGGTACTTGTTAACGAATCGAATAACGTTTCTAGTAATACTAATAAAAAATGTCGCACTGGTGATAGTATGAAAGTTACCTGTTGTGGTGACAAGGTCATTGTTGCCAAACGACTTACTTACTGACTACTTTATTTCAAGATTTGTTATAAGTAATGTTGCAGAATTGAGGAGGATGCTTTACACAAACTTGTGTCTAAAGTCGAGTCTTTGCTTAACAAAGTCTCGGATTGGGGGCGACTAAATCTAGTCCAATTGAATCCCCAGAAGACACAAGTTTGCGCGTTAACCGCTAAAAGAACCCCTTTGTCGTATCTCCTCAGTTTGAAGGCACTCCCCTTGCTGTCTCAGCTAGCATCAGAATCCTCGGCGTCGACATATCGAATAGTGTGCAGTTTCGTGGTCACTTGGAGGGGAAGGCCAAATTGGTCTCTAAAAAGCTTGGCGTGCTCAGGAGAGTGAGACAGTATTTCATGCCGGCACATCACTTGCAACTTTACAAAGCGCAAGTTCGGCCTCACATGGAATACTGTCCTCATCTCTGGGCCGGGGCACCCCAGTGCCAGCTCCTTCCACTTGACCGCATTCAGTGCAGAACGATTCGAATCGTGGACAACCGAGTTCTTTCTGATCGGCTCGATTCACTGGCGCTGCGTAGGGATGTTGCATCCCTTTGCGTTTCCTACTTCGGGGAATTTTCTGAGGAATTGTTCGGATTATTTCCAGCCGCCAAATTTCACGAACGCACATCGCGTTAAAATTCCCGATACCATCCTCACCATCTGGATGCTTGGCGGTCCACCACCGTGCGTTTTATAGGAGTTTTCTTCCTCGTACAACTTCTCTGTGGAATTGTTTACCACTGGCAATTTTACCGGACCGATACGACTTAGAGACTTCCAAGAAAAGAGCTTACTCCTTTCTAAGAGGCCGGCAACGCACCTGCAATTCCCCTGGTATTGCAGTTGTTTATGGGCGGTAGTCACTTAACATCAGGTGAGCGGCATGCTCGTTTGCCACCTCTTCTATAAAAAAGTCTTCATCATATTAATTTAAATACTGGGTAGTATTCCTTTAGTAGCCAGCTATCTAGTCCGTAGATATTAAACGCTGGCCTATTTCTGCCGCCAAATATTAGAACTTGCACTACTGTTCCGGTCAGAAGGGTATAGAGAAATAGTATACTATAGCGTATAATACACTGTAGGATTTACTACCTTATTGTGCTGACTGCCAGTTCAAATTTTTATTAACTTTTTATAAGCCATTGCTTGAGCACCATCTCACCTGGTGGTAAGTGGTAATGCAGCCTTAGGTGGTAAATCACACTGTCTTAGCGTAACAAATGCCTATTCACTCTTGCCTTGAAGACGCCCAGATTGTACGGAAAGATGAAGAAAGATGTAGCAAATTAATTTTAAATACCACATAATTTTCTATCATTTTCCTAAAACGATTGTCATGGTACTCATTAAACATATTCTTGTTGTTCGGAAAAAAGATAATCTTACACCAAATTACCAATATCGCGATGGACAGATTATGATTTATTGGTGACATCGATAAGGCAACTTTTAAGCTTCGTTTTTCCTATGTCACCTGATGATAAGGTCCTTAATGAAATATATTTGATTCGTAAACAGGTGATTACTCACACATACAAAATTTCAATTTACATTGCCTTAGCGAGACCTTAATTATAATTATAAGTGGTCTAAGAACATCGTTTTTTGTCAATTTATTTCCTTTGTGTAACAATTTAAATATTATTTCCAATTTTAGAGAATATATGACAGTCCGCTTGGACCCGGAGGGTGAGTCGCAACAGGATCCTAACTGGGTGATAGCTAATGATGGTGCGGAAATTGTTCAAACCCTCAATTCAGATCCCGGACTTGCAGTGGGCTTCGATAAATTTGGAGGAGTCGACTTCGAGGGGACGCTGTTCGTTGATTCACAGATAGACGACGATTACGTTGGTTTTATATTTGGGTAAGTATTAATATTGTTTTATTTATTCGACACCATACATTTGATAGAAGACAAGATGACCACTAAAATTATTAACTGTAATTTTATGTTCTGATTTAGAACGTACTTAACGGAAAAAAAGTGAAAAACCTCCATCCGAGAAATAAATATAACGCGTGACGTATACGTCGAGGATTACAAAGAGATTATTGGTCACAATCTGCTAGCTTCGGCTTTGTGGAGCATTTTTATTGTCATTCATCTCCATTTAACCTTTTGTCAATAGTTGATTACAAGTTTTATCGCATCCATATTAAAATAACAGTAACAAAATTTAAAAATAAAATAAATGGTATGAAAATATTACCAAAGAAGCTTCTAATGGAGTAATATTTAATTGAATAACCATGAGTAACTTGAGCCACGGTAGCTCAGGGGCTAAGCGCTCGCTGCAAATTTCACAGTACACGAGCAACCCGCGTTCGATCCCCGCCGGCACCAATGAAATTTTGAATTGCAATTTTAAGTGCTGAATTATCACTTGCTTGGCGTTGGATTAAAACATCGTGAGGAAATCTGCATGTCTGGGAAATCAGAACAAAATATTTCGAAGACATGTGAAATTCGTCAGTACGCATTAGGGTTGCGCGGTGGACGTTTCCTTGCCCTGAAACCCTCTCAGAAATAAGAGGAGGCCTGGCCCAGCTGTGGGACGTATATATGCTGTAACTTTAACTTTATGAATAACTTTAACAATTATTACTGTGTTTATGACAGATATCAGAACAACAAACGTTTCTACGTGGTGATGTGGAAAAAGAACACACAGACATACTGGCAAACAACGCCGTTCCGTGCGGTGGCTGAACCTGGTATACAGCTCAAACTCGTTAACTCCAAGACTGGACCTGGCAAGACTTTGAGAAATGCTTTGTGGAATACTGAGTCTACGGCTGATCAGGTGTGATTGTAAGAACTATTACTAGAATTAAGGATGTAAAAGTGGCCATTTTTTAGGGTTCCATAGTCAACTAGGAACCCTTATAGTTTCGCCATGTCTGTCTGTCCGTCTGTCCGTCCTCGCTTAATCTCTGTGACCGTTAGCACTAGAAAGCTGAAATTTGGTACCAATATGTGTATCAATCACGCCGACAAAGTGGTAAAATAAAAATTGGAAAAAAATGTTTTATTAGGGTAGCCCCCCCTATATGTAAAGTGGGAAGTGATTTTTTTTTTAATTTCAACCTTAACGTGTGATATATTGTTGGAAAGGTATTTAAAAATGAATAGGGGTTTACTAAAATCATTTTTTTGATAATGTCAATAATTTCGGAAATAATCGCTCCAAAAGTAAAAAAACAATGTGTCCCCCCCCCCCTCTAACTTTTGAACCATAGGTTTAGAAAATATGAAAAAATCTGAAAAGTAGAACTTTATAAGGACTTTCTAGGAAAATCATTTTGAACCTGGATGGAAACAGTTTTTGTACAAAAAAAGACAAAAAGTTGTACAAAATAATTTCTGGACTAAGTTTGTAGTATAATCGTATATGCAAGCATTTTTTTTTAACTTCGTTTACATATTTTATTATCCTGAACGTATCTTTTTTCAAAGAAAAAAAAAAGAATTATTAAAATCGGTTCTCGCAATCCAAAATTACCACCGAAAACTTCTGGCACGTCTATGTATTAATTAGTAACCCAATTCCCCGAGAGATGGCGCTGTAGGTACTTATTACATTGGGTCGGGTATTATCGAATTGTTCGGTTGGTCTCTCCTTGACATCGCCTACCGCGGAGCGTGCAATGTTGCACGCTCCATGTTTGCGCACGTACCCACTACCGGGAGCAGTTGCAGGAGCGCGGAGCGCTGCTGGAGCGCGAACATAATGGACCCACCTTTAAACTCATAAGTGGGAACACTTATTGTGACGGACGGGAAACTACGGAACTCTACACTGAACGTGGCCCGACACGCTCTTGGCCGGTTTTTATCTTTTATTTGTGCATTCTACGATTGGTTTTTTGAAAAGTGAATTCGGAATATATTTTGTAGTTTAACTGTACAAATTCATAAACAGCATAGACACAAAATTTTAAAAAAATACAAAAATTAATCAAAAGAAAACTAAATATAATTTCTATATTTTTTAACCTTATTACCCACTATTTCTAAGCCAGTAGTTGACTATTATCCCATCTGTTGGTAAGTGGTGATGCAACTGGAGATTGTGTAGCGCACTGACTTAACAAAAAACTTAACAAAAGCCTCTTGACTTGAAGACGCCACATTATAATCGGATGGAAAGACATATGCTGGCATATTTAATTCACTGTTTTGCTACACGCATGACGAACGATGAAGCGAACAGTTCGGATGCCGTTGCCAACCGTTTGGTAAGTCGACAACGATGGGTTAAAAACTGGCTGAGCGTCTGGTATATAATATTTTGATATACGTTTCCAGTATTGTGGAAATAGCTACATTAGCTAAGGTTATACTACTAAAAATAATAAGCACTTGCTCTAAATAAAATATAATGCATCATTCGTAGTTTGTGCATCATTTTTTTATTATAAAAGCCCTCCGACGTCAAGTCAATTAGTGTAGTGACGGGGGCGATCCTACATCAGATTTGATAGACCACAAATCGTCGCTAAATAACACCGATTCTTTCCAAGGATTGATTCGCGAGGCTATTGAAATCAAAAAACATCCTAATTTCAATAAAGAAGATGAAGATGGCTGGGTGCTACCATTTGCTTGGGATAAATCCCAACCCAAGCATACAACTGCAAGACTTCAAGATACAATAAGTTCGTACTGCATAGATCGGAACAAAAATTAATAATTTTAACCTATGGTAACCGTGGTTAACGGTGACATCTGGACATTGAACATCTCAGCCCCCCCCCCGTGACCATGGGTGCTTTAAAGTTAATATACACGATAAAATCCGTCAAAACGAGTTTTATTTAAATGTGTAGTGTTCGCGTAAATATAAGAAGTTATGTTTTATAGAAATCTTTATCGTCAAAATTTTATTGGCCCATTAAATATACAAACCAAATTGTAAATGATACAGGTGACTCTCCTGTGGAAAGATCCACGCAACGTAGGCTGGCGCGAGAAAACCGCGTACCGTTGGCGTTTACTTCATCGACCAAAGATCGGCCTCATTCGTCTCAAAGTGTACGAGAACAATCGACTTGTTGCTGACTCGGGCAACGTCTACGACTTCACTCTGAAGGGTGGACGGCTTGGCGTCTTCTGCTTCTCTCAAGAAATGATCATTTGGTCCAACCTGGTCTATCGTTGCAATGGTAAGCACTTTAATAATAATAATATAATAAAGTAGTATTTATTTTCTGCCACATATTATCAGAACTTTACAATAAACTAAGTAATAGTAAACTTATATAGCTAAATAACAGCTATTAATACTAACTACATAAAATCTAGATGGGAGACTGGTGCCCAAACTATGTTTACTTAGTTTTCAGAATATAATTAATATTTTTATCCACATATAATTTTAATAATTATTCTATTGAACAATGCATTTTGATGACGATATTAAATTTCCATTCGGTTTAAGTAAAATATTATAGATTATTATTTCATTACTAAACTAAATTTACGACATGATAAGAAGTTCCATAAGTAGCTTACTCGATGGTATGGTCCTTTTTTGCCTTCGAGTTCACCCCTAGGTGGAAGGAATTCCCTGATCTATTTCTGCCAGCTGTTTATCGGTTTGGCAAACGAGCACACATTCCACCTGATGGAAAGTGGATGTTGTAGCTGATCTATTACATCTATCCCCGATTAAGAATCAAAGTTTATCTTAGTTCTCAGGGAGGTGTTCTGTGGCCTACTATGTTTGAATTTGGTTGCAGACAAATACAGACACATATAAGTACATTCTCTTTGTAGCCTAGCAAGAAGTCATTGAAGTCATTGAATTGAATAGATTACTGGAGTACTACTATGAAATTACTCACGTAACATGCCTTATAAGGGATCTATCAGACAGAAGCCATTCAGGCGTTCAAGCGTTCTTTGTGTTGTATTACGTTACATAGACATACCCAGACAGCAGGCATTCTGACCGTGTCGGTCAACCAGAACATAGGCGTTCGTAATTGGTGAGCAACTGAACGCTCCAACGCAAAAAGCGGAACGCTTGAACGCGTGACCGCTTCCTGTTTGATAGAACCCTAAGTCCTCACATCTCAAAGGTATTAATATTTACATATACTGTCGTTTCAGATAAAATTCCATCAAATATCGTATCGGAACTACCTACGCGGCTGCTGAGGAAATTGGAGATCGATCACAACTTTGTTTACACATAATATTATAGTACAGATTGAAATAAAACATAACTAATTTTAACGGATCATTTGAACTGAGTGTTTTTATGTATCGTAACAAAAATAAAAAAATATTTCGAAATTTAGTCGAAAATGTAAGTAATGATGACCATAGTACAAAAATAACGTAATATTATCGAAATAAACAAATACACTAAAGGTGACAACAGTTTTAATAAATTACTATAATATGGTAGAAGATTTGATTATAATATACATGTATATAAAGTCGCGTAATACGATCAGAGTATGCCCGGACCGAGTGGATTTGAAGGAGTAGCGACGTACAAGGATAACTGTTGATATTAAAATGCTTCACTCGGGTCATTTTATTCACTCTTACAAATATTTTTCATAGTTAACATCGAAAAATGTAGGATTTTGTGCAAAATAAGATATTTGTGCGAATTGCCGTCGACTTGTTTATAGAAGAGCTAAAACGACGAGAAGAATTTGGACATTTTTAAGAAATTTTTGCACGAGACACTTGATTGTTGTTATTAGCCGCCATTTATTTTCACAACTCGTATACAAGCTAGTTCGGGACAGCAGGATGCGATCCGAGTCTACACAGGTCGGACACTTTCGTTCGAACTAGGCATGGCGATCTGAGATCGATTAATCTAAGAATCGATTTTTTTTGCCAAAAAGATCGATTTTTTAAATCTATATATAGTACTGCATCGACCTAGTGAATCGATATTTCACCCTACAAAATCGAGATTCGATTTTTCTATTTTTATAAGAACCATAAAATCGTTTACAATTAGTTGAATGTACCCAAACTCGTAAAAAATCACAGTTTTTCTATTCAGAAACTCGTAAAACTGCTGTGTGCACATATACTCAAAACAAATTACGTAAAAGTAATAGTGCCGAGGGTATCATAAGAAGTGACAGAGGGAAACTAGGAGATGGTAGCTTTAGGTTCTTCCTGACAACTACTTAAAATAAGTAAAAAAAAAAACTGCGTATAACGACCCACCCACCAAACGTGGCAAATATGTCCTCTGTGAGACAATATATAAGGCCTGTTCGGTAGTGGAATTTTGATAGGCTGTAGCGGTAACTCTTACTTTTCAACCGAATTCAAAAAGAAGGAGGTGTTCAATTCGACTGTACGTTTTTAACTTCTCAGTGGGAAGTTTCAAGGTCTTTAGAGTCGAATAGTATGGTTTTTAAGAGGATGTCCGTGTGTGCACGTGTACGTATGTATGTATGTTCGGATTCAATTTTCGCCTCGTGTATCTCGATAACAAATATTGGTGATATTGACATGAGAACAGTTTCATTAACGGCATAATTATGTAACTTAGACCTAAATAAATTTTGAGGAAAATAGGCCAAGTCGTTTTTTTGTGCCGAATGAAATATTGTATAAAATATTAAAACATATGATATTTTTTTATTCTTTCCATTAGGAAGTTAGTCGTGTGGACTTTTCGGGTCGCAAGTAGACCGCTTTTTTATGAGTCTGTTTTTTATCTGAAAGGTGGTGCTTCATATAAATTTGATCAAGATCCGAACAGTAGTTTTTTGAGGTATCCATAAATAATGCGTATTTAATTTACTTTGTATTAATTGATGATGTTCTCATTTTATTTATACTGAAATCGGTTGTACAATTTTTTTTTAATTTTAGCACCTTTTTAATTCGATGGCTTGATGTATTCATTAATATTATTGTTTAAAAGAAGCAAATATTTAGTCATATGCAGTGCATTTGTTTATTTCTATGGTAAAATACTTTACTGTGTATTATATGAACTATAATACATGAAATAAGTATTAAGTTATAATATATTATGTGACGTTTAATTAAGTTTAATAAATAATAAATGCTTTTTAACCATGTGAGCGTTTTATTTAAAAAACCATCTGTATGTTGTGAACTTTTATCGTCCGATGTTATGAATAACGGAGAACTGTATTTCCAATTTCCTATATCTGCAATGAAACATTGGCGGTGATTCTAGCGGAAACTTTAGTATAAAGCGGCTGTGTTACTATTGTTTAAATGTTACCTACATAAGTACGTAATGACGACGTAAGAGAATTTAGTGCACATACCATGGGTGTGGTAAGTCGATAGAAGGAAACGGAAACAGGAGTTAGACAGTAGCATTTTCCTGATAATAATTTTAAAAACCAAACTACGGTTGTCAAACCGCCTGTCAAGCATGGCGGGGTCTACTGTCACCAGTGGATTTTGATAGTATGATTTAATATCCCTTCTGACGTTTTAATAATGCTACAGTATGATTTATTCAGCACAATACATATGTACAGCCGCAGCATAGCTCTCTAGGTGCATCGCGAATGGGACGGCTTGACCGGGAACGGACCACGCTCTCACAGAGTATCAACGTAAATTAGCAGCTTAATGTTACTGTGTTACGTATGATGAGGGTAGAGAAAGATTTCTCTACGATGTTTTCTTTCACGGCCGGCACGTGGTAAATCAATACTTAAAATTGCAATTAGCAATTTCATTAGTGCCAGCGGGAATCAAACTTGGGTTACGTGCGTAGCGCTTCGCCTCTGAGCTTCCACGGCTCTCACAGTAGGTAAGAATCACCGTATCAGATGCTCGAACATTTGGCGCCGCTACCTTTGAAGACTCTGACGACACCCGTGGGTGTGAGGTTAGTTGGTAGTGTGATTATCACACGTTGCAAAGTAAATAACACAGTAATTAATAAACCAACCTTTATTACACCCTCATATTTATTTTAAAATTGACCAAAAACTAGATCGGAAAAAGTAAGTCGAAAAAGTGTGCAATAAAATCAATCGTTTTGCGTTTGTAATTTACACATTAACAAAAATAGGAAGGAGAACAGCCCTTACAACATCGTACTTCGCTTACATTGAATCAGTCCTGCGATACGGATTCATTATATGGGTTAATATTACAGATATAAAAAATGCGTTCATTGCACAAAAAAGTGTGTTAGAGCTATATGTGGTACTGTACCTAACGAGCCATGTCAGCCCTTGTTTAAATCATTGAAAATTTTGACACTTCCTTGTCTATATATTTTTGAACCGGCGAAATTTGTAAAAAACAATATGTAATATTTCACACAAGCCAAAGATTTCTACAAACGAGGCACTAGAAATAGAAATAGGTTGGTTTCCACTATAATACCCAAGAGTGCGAGATTTCATAAAAATTGCTATTGGATGTCTATGACAGTATATAATAAGATACCACAAGTAATTCAAGACCTAGTCAGACCAAGTCATTAAATTTAATATAAAAGAGATTCTCTATAATATAAAAGAGAATTATACAAATGGCTCAGTGAAAAGGCTTTTTATACTCTAGAGGAATATTTAAAGACCAATTTAAAATTTTAAAACCATTTTAAAATGTGAAATAAGAATAGAAGGAGAGTTAATTGAGCAAGTGGATGAGTTTGTGTATTTGGGATGTGTATTTAGCAGGGATGGTAGATATGATAGGGATATAGAACGACGAGTAAATGCAGGGAATAGAGTGAATGGGGCACTACACTCTATTATGAAGAACCAGAATGTGTCAAAACAGGCACGTATGGTAATTCATAATGCTGTGTTAGTCCCTACGTTAATGTATGGTAGTGAAAGCTGGGTGTGGCAGAAGAAGCACGAAAGTAGAATAAATGCTGTAGAAATGCGTTCTTTAAGAAATATGCTAGGGTTTAATCTAAATGACAGGGTGAGAAATTGCGTGATAAGAGATAAATGTGGTATGCAAGATGATGTTGTGACCAGGATTAAGAAAGGAATGCTTCGGTGGTTTGGTCACGTAGAAAGAATGAATGATGAAAGAGTGACAAAGCAAATTTATATGGCAGATGTGAACGGCCGAGTCGGGATGGGACACCCTAGAAAAAAGTTTGTCGACCAAATTGGCGATATTTTGAAAATGGGCCACGTTAGAAGTACCCTTAACCGACGAGCATGTATGCGTAGATATATGGATGTAAATGAGGCGAAAGAGGTATGTCAGGATCGTGCCAAATGGAAGTCCGTAATCTCTGCCTACCCCTCTGGGTGACAGGCGTGAGTGTTTATGTATGTTATGTTATGGAATATTTAAACTACGATACGTAATAGTAACTAGACATATAAATTTACTGGACCAATTGTGAAATATTTATTAAGTACCTATTACCTATTTATTGATTAATTGTTGACATTTTGTTATTTTAGACATTTTATTCATAAATATTATTATCTCATTATTTTATATTTGTAAGATTTGCATGCCATTAATAATGGCTGATTAAGCGGATTTTTAATTAATATGACCATCTTCAGTGTATCTTATCCAAACGCAAATAAATATTTCATTTCAATTCATTTAATGGCATGAAAATAACCCCCTTATCTTAATAAAAGACATATATTTCGATATTACTGATAGACACTTTAATTTTATTTATATGAATAATGTCTTTATCTTTATACATATAATTCTTCTGTAAGTTTGTCATTGAACTCCTAAACGGCTGGACCGATGTTGATGAATTTTTTTTGTGTTTGAGTGAATCCTTGAATGGTTTAGATTCATAATCGGACCCGGTAGGTGGCGCTGCTGATTGCTAATAGGTGTATAAATTAGAGGGAAAAATATTAAATACGGCGTACGTAGTGACTGGGGGTGAATTTATAAATTTAAGTTGTATTAAAACATTTATAGAATTGTTTTCCTTTAGAGGATAAAAATCACTTATTACGATTTGTACTAGCTTAGTAGCTATATTTTTATAATATTTTTTATAGGATAGGGTGACAAACGAGCACACAGTCCACCTGATGGTAAGTGGTTGCTGTGGCCCATAGACATCTACATCTATCCTCGATTACAAATCAAAATGCAGATGTGTTGTCACCCGTGAGGACTAAGATGGAATGCCTCGTTTCCAGTAAAAAGGGTCTCCGGTTCTCTACACTCACCATACAAAATACAGCAGCATTAAGCTTTATTCTTA